CCCAGGGGCTCAGGAGAACTGCTGATGCAAGCCAATTGTCATCACTACTTCATTCATCCAGGCCCTGGAGACAGGACCCTGGGTGACACGGGGAGGGGTGACTACATTGGGCCCCTGCCCTCAGGCTGTCAGAGTGCCCTGTGAGTGGGGATTCACACAGACAACAGCTTCATGACAGTGAGACAGCGTGAAGTGTGTACGAAGTCAGAGGGAAGCCAAAGTCAGCCCCTCTCCCCTGAAGAAAGGCTGATTGAGAGAGAGAGAGGGATCACCTCCCATACAAAGGCTGATGGGGTCCAGACAGAGGGCGTGGTGGGGACACAGGCCCAGGAGCTTGGAAGGACGCCTGAGTTCCTGGTGGGAGATCTGGTTGCTGGGGGGGAGGGGGCAGGTGGTGGCAGGGTTGGCATGAATGAGCCCAAGGCTGGAAAAAGGAAGAAGATGGGTGAGGCTGGAAAGGGACAAAGGGACCTGTGCACCTTTCCTCCTGGGATTCCTGACCAAGAACCGCCCAGGTCGCCTCACTGACTTCTGTCCACTGCCTGGAGCATAACTGTAGCCGGGCCACCCCACCCCCACCCCCAGCGGTGACCATGGACAGGCTTGCCCATATTTGTGACAGGTGGGAAAGACCACTTCCTCCATTCATGAGGATTACAGGAGATAAAGTTCAAAAGCCCCCATGCGGGCCACCTGGCCCACCCTGAATATCAACACATGTTAAGGGAGAGAGACGACATCAGTGAAAACAAAAGCAGTAATAACCAGGGCCTTCCTCTTTCTTCCCAGTCAGCAGGCTCCAAGGTTAACCTCCGTGGACTTGAAAGTGGAGGTTCCTTGTGCTGGCCTGTCTGTCTCTTGCTTTTTGCTTTACAATTTTCTGGCTTGCATGCGGGGAGATTTCCTCGAGCAGGTGGCAGGCTGATCGCACTTGTTTCTGTAGTGCCCAAACATCTTCAGTCCTCCGCAAAGATCCTGCTTTATTCTGAGGACCCACCTTTTGCTAACTTCTCCCTGCTTTCTTTACAAAACAGCTTTTTGTCTAACACTAAAGTGTCTGTAAGGATAAATGGAGGAAAAACAAATTAACATCAGACGACAAGACAGGGAAACGGTCCCCATGCGAGCATTCAATTGGCTTCCAAAGCTGACCTTTCTCCAAGCATCAACAAGTGGGAGAGAGGCGTCTCTGCAAACATCCACAGCTGCACCCCAGTCGAGAGGGGACCAGCACTCACAAGCTACCCTCCCCAGGGAATTCTTGTAATCTCTCTTATAAACAAAAGCACACTCTTCTCCAGGGTTCTTTACCCAGAAGCCTGAGGGCATAGCTCCTCCTCCAGGTGGGCTCAGGCAGCTGGCCAGAGCTGGCTGGAGTTCCCCCTCAGGGCAGGCCATGTCTCCAACCTCCCCGCTGCCCCGCCCCCTGCACCCCGCTCTGTCCTGTGACACCCAGATTCAGTAGGTCCAGCGTGCGGTCCAGGATGGAGCATTTATTCAAGCTTCCAGGAGATGCATATGGCGCGTGGGATGCATGAGGGTTTCTAAACACTAGGGCTCAAGAACAGTAATCCAAGAGGCTGTTAAAAGGCCAGGTCCCCATCCGGGTGGTCCAGTGGTTAAGAATTCGGCTGCCAGGGCAGGGGACATGGGTTCAATCCCTGGTCCGGGAAGATCCCACATGGGGCAGAAACTAAGCCCATGCACCTACTACTACTACTGAAGCCCACATGCCTTAGAGCCTGTGCTCTGCAACAAGTGAGAAGCCACTGTAATGAGAAGCCCTAGCGCCACACCTAGAGGGTAGCCCCTGCTCACCGCAACTAGAGAAAACCTGTGGAGCAATGAAGACCCAGCACATTCAAAAAAAAAAAAAAGGCCAGGCCCCAGGCCCCATTCCCCAAAGTTCCAAGTCATCAGTCTCAGGTGGAGCCTGGTGGTGGTTTACCTGCTAAGTCGTGTCCAACTTTTGCAACCACATGGTCTGTAGCCCACAAGGCTCCTCTGTCCCTAGGATTCTCTAGGCAAGAATGCTGGAGTGGCTTGCCATTTCCTTCTCTAGTGGATCTTTCTGACTCACGGGATCAAACCCAGGTCTTCTGTACTGCAGGCACATTCTTTACCGACTGAGCTGCCAGGGAAGCCCTAGGTGGAGCCTAGGAATCAACATTTTTCATGAGCCTTGCTAGGATGCTGAACCAGATCATCCGAGGACAGGAGGGGTGAAGGGAAGTTTGGTTCCCCGGCAGACTTCCACTCGATGGTCTAGGGTGTGGCTCAAGGGTCTGTAATTCCCACAAGCCCCCACAGGGAGTTGGTGCTGCTGGTTCGAGGATTGTCACATGGAATTCATTGCCCTGTGCTTCAGACCACCTTTTCCTCCCTCTCAATGGATCCTCTCTGCTTCGCTCACAGCAAGTCTGATAAACCAATGCTCTCTGCTGGACCTGCTTCAGCTACTGCAGTGTTTCTGAAACCATATTCCTGAACATGTGAGTTCCCATAAGACATCATATGTTGTGTATCAGGGCTCCTCCAGCAAATGAGTCTGGGGGAAAAATGCTGCCTAGGCCAGGTATGCAGGGCTGGGATGAGAACATTGGGTCCTGCAGCCTCCGTCTGGCCTCATCCCACCTCCCCCCTGCCTGGGGGAACAACCAGCAGGGATGACAGCAGACCCCACACTGGAGTCAGGATGGTTCTGTGAGTTAATCCACACAGAGCTCCCTGATGTGTGCCTCCCCCAAGACTGGTTAGAGGCAGGAAGGACCTGCTGGGTCTGCGAGTCATCACACCCTTCAGCAGACTCAAGACTGAAATACTCGGCAGTAAGAGATGGGGAGGTGTTTCCTCTAGTGTTTGGGCCTCAGGACCCCCCCAACCCCTGCCAACATCATTTTCTTTTTTAATTCAAGTTGGCACTGAGCAATTTCGGGAAGCACAGCAGAGCAAGTGCTGGGTTCTGGACCCCTTTTCTGAGAATGATCTCCATCACACTCAGACCTTCTGAAGACAAAGGCGGGTCCTAGGGATAGGCATTTCAGAACAATAGCGAGGGCTGCAGCTGGCCTCTGTGAACCACCTGTAGTGATGAGGCACCCTGAATAAGGGGGGAATCAGAGGGGTCTTTGAGAGGTGTGAGCACAGGGCTGGCGGTGGATCTGTCCATCAAACCTCACTGGCAATAAAGGATTTGTGCTGAGTCTGAGCATAAAGATGAGTTGGGCACACTCGGCACACCCAGAGGTAACCTGCTCCTGTCCCAAGAGGCTGGGGACAGAGTCGACTCAGGCCAGGTGTGGCAGGCCAGTACTGATGTGATGTCCCCTTTAACTGCCACATGGGTCCTGGGTAAGAAGCCACAAGTTAACCCGTGCTCTCAGATATAGAACTTGCCTGTCCCTCTCAAGTTTTCTAGAATCTGACTTCCTGTAGTTTAAAGCAGCAAGCTAACTAGCAGGCTGCCAAACCCAGGTGCCAGGGTCCAGGAAAGGGGGAGAGCTGTGCAACCGCTCTCCTGCCCAAGTCGGCTCTGACCTTGGAGCTCAATTGTGTGCTCTGCTTAGTCGTTCAGTCGTGTCCAGCTCTGTGACCCCATGAATTGCAGCCTGCCAGGCTCCTCTGTCCATGGGGATTCTCCAGGAAAGATTACTGGAGAGGGTGGCCATGCTCTCCTCCAGGGGATCTTCCTAACCCAGGGATGAAACCCAGGTCTCCCACATTGCAAGCAGATTCTTTACCCCCTGAACTATCAAGGAAGCCCCAACAGTTCACTCCATCCTCTTCCCCCTCCTTGGCAGTGTATTTCTCAAACCAGAACTAATGTATTCTGGACACAGAGCCCTCCAAACCAAGACAAAGAACATTTGCAATATCTGAGCAAACAAAACCACTTTTCTTAAAATCTCCAAATCGAAAGGGAATGTGCAGAAACATTTACTTACTTTTCAAGCTGTACCTGTTGTTCACTTGATGAGCCCTTAAAGAAGGGTCCCCTCAGTTCAGAAATCACCCAAGCCTGATGGTCCTGACAGCTCTTCTGTGCGGGAATTTCCGCCTTACTTTCTCAAGTCCTCCAATGTCTTTCTTGGCTTCTTAGGCCTAACCAGGTATTTTGATACACACACAGGCCCCTTCCTTGGTCCTGATGGGTGTATCACAGCCAGGGCCTGGACCTGGAGCTTTTCCTTACCCTGGGGGTCCATGCAGCCTGGAGACCCTCCCTCTGTGGTTTTCAAATCCACTTGGGTCTCAAGGCTAACTCCTGAGAGGCCAAAGACTTTGCCAGGCCAGGAGGTGGGTCTGGGTTAGCAAGAAGACATCCGAAATGTACTAGACTGATGGGCGTTCCCAGCACCCTGTGCCTCAGGCCTCAACCTGGATGAAGGCAGCAGAGGCTCCCGGTGCAGATCCAGAAAGCGTTCCCTTGGTTTGGGAGCTGTGACGACCCTGCCTTGTTCAGACCTCCACAGCCTCCCCCGCCCCCACCTTTTTCCCTGTAGACTTTATGTTCTCGGCCCCTTCGGCTGACCGGGGCTCCTAATGCGCTGACCGGGGCTCCTGATGCACGGTCCCAGCTAGGTGGTACCTTGGGGCAGGCGGCTGGGGCGAGCTCGCGAGGCGCGCGGGTGAGGCGCTGGGGGCGCGGCGCCTTTAAGGCCCGCGTCAGGCCGAGCGAGCGAGCGCAGGGGCCGGGCGGCGGGGCGGGGCCTCAGAGGGGCTGCCGCGCGGCTTCACCTGCAGTTCCGAGCGCGCGGAACAGAGGCGCGGGCGGCTGCGAGGCCGGCGGACGCACTGGCCCGAGGGAGCGCGCCGCCCGCTGGACTTGGCCTCGCTCCCGGAGTCGGGCGGCGGTCGTGGCGGCGCAGCCTGACCGGAGGTGCCGGGCCCGCTCGAGCGGCGGCGGCGGCGATCAGAGCAGCGCGATCCGGACGGCTGCGGGGAGCGGGCTCCGGGCGCCGGGCATCGGGCGGGCGCTGGGGCGCGGCGCGGCGGGGAAGATGACCGCGGGCTCGGGCGTGCTCCTCGTGCTGCTCTCGCTCTCCGGCGCGCTCCGGGTAAGTTGCCGCCTCCCGTCCCGGCCGCCCGGAAGCCCAGGCAGTGCGGGGCCGCTCCCGGAGCTGGCGGGGCTCACACTCGCCCGGCGGGGCTCTCCCGGGCTTCCCCGGCCCGCACCGGGCGCCCCTGCCGCGCGCACCGCTGCATCCTGCCGGCTCCCGCGCTCCGCGAAGCCGCCTGCGGTCGGCAGGAGCGCGGAGCCGCGGGTGCAGCGGGGAGCGGCGGTGCGGAGCGAGGTGGGAGTATGGGTGAGCGGGGGACGCAGAGAGCTCTGCCTGAATCGGGACCCGCCGGGCATCCCTCCGCCACCCCAGGTCCGCGGCCGCTGCCCCGGAGCTCGACTCGCCCGCGCCGGGGCAGGCTGCCCGCTGGCGGAGCCGGCGCGCCCTCCATCGCCGGCTCGCCGCGCTCCTCCGGAGTTGGCGAGCCCAGCCCGAGCCGGGGCTGCGGACGAGGGGGGCTGGCGGCAGCCGGCCGGACATCAGTGTGCTGAGGACACCCGGTCTGGCCGCCCCTGCTGGGAACTGCGTGCTGGAGACGCGGCGCCTTCCCTGTCCTCGTCCTCTGACCGCTGGCAGGGACCATCGATGCGGGTGGGCAACGGATGTGGACCGCGGGGCACCCTCGCCCCGGACTCCCGGCCGCGACCAGTATCCGGCGGGGCCCTCGCTGCTCGGAGCGGGGTCGAGGAGCCAGGGGCCAGGCAGGAGCAGGGTGAGGTGTACCGGGAGCGCGGTCCCCGCGCCCGCCTTCCTCCTGCGGAGCCCGCGAGCTCTGTCCCCAGCCCAGCTCCGCGTCCGCTGGGTGCAGGGCCGGGGGGCGCCGCTCGGGGAAGGCAGCGGGGCCGCGAGAGTTGCAGGAACCCCCTCTCGTGGCCGATCCGCCTCGCTGCTCCTCCCGGGCCGCGCTGTTGTAACCTCGGAAATAAACAAGTGCCCGAGGCCGGAGGCCCGCTCTGAGGTTCTGGGCGCTCGGGTGCACTCGACCCACGCTCGCTCGGGCGGGTGGAAACTTTCCTGGGCGAGTTAGCGTCCCCCCGTCCGCCGTCCCTTCTTTCGGTCCTATTTGGAGCTCGCTTGCCAGGCACGGGGCCGCCGTTTGGAGCTTTACGCGAGGAGTGACCCCGCGCCCTGCTCTTCCTCCCCTCGGTGATTTTCCGTGGGGGCGCCGGGTCCAGGCCCGCGTCAGGGTGCCTGGAGCTCCGGCTCCGGGCGGCCTCCAGAGCCAAAGACTGGCGGGCGGCTGCGCGCCGAGCTGGAGGAGGCGGGCGGCGGGGAGGCGCGTTCCGCTCGGCGGCCCCGCGAAGGCGCGACTGTGGGGTGGGTGCGGGCTGCGCCCCTGCTCCTCGCGCTCCAGGGAGCCGGCGCTGTGGCGCTCCTTCTGTCGCAAGGCTGGCTTCCCCGTTGCACACGCAGTCTCTCTCTCCATTCCCCATCCCTACGGCTGACCTCTCTGCCACTCCCCGCAGCCTGGGAGGGGCCCTTCTCCCACCCTGCCTTCCAGGCGCCCTGGGTTCTAGACCTCCCATTGGGCAGGATACGCCAGAATGCTGGGTGGGGGGACAGTACAAGAGGACTCCCACCTTTTCTCGGTCAATTACGGGAGCTCTCTAGCCTGGTTAGGCTGGTGATGGGGGCTGCAAGAGTGGACAAGCCTCCAGGAAGTGGGGGGAGAGGACTGGATGGTAGAAACCTCCCCCACCTCCCTGCAGCCTCCCTGAGAGCCAAACTCAGAGCTGAGTCTCAGAATCTGCTTTCAGCCCTGCCCCTCTCCCTCCTCTGCGGCACCACAGGGAAGAGACAGCCCGCTCCACCTCACCCTAAGCCTGAGCACTGGGGTGGGAGGGGACATGGCCCTGGCAAAGGCCTGCTCCCTTGGCCTCCCCTCCTCCATGTCTTCATTGGCTAACTCCTGGCTCCCTTGCCTCCCTATAATGTACAGTCCTCAGACCTTCCCTTCTGCCACATGCTGGTGAGGCTCCATCAGGCCCTCCACCCTGCTATCCACCAGCCCGGCCTCGCTGTTGCATGCCCCTGTCACCGGCTAACATGGTGACCACAGGGGCAGACCTTGGGTTATGTCTGAGTGGAGGCTCTGGTGGACCAAGGCTTGTCATAATGGAGCCCTTGAACGTAGCAGGCCCTACTAAACTTGGGTTGGATGCAGTTTCTATGGACCTGTGTTTTTTCTAACCTCACTTATGTCCATTCTCAGGCCCACAATGGGGATCTTACAGCCAGGGAGACCTGCAAGGCTGGATTCTCTGAAGAAGATTACACAGCATTAATCTCCCAGAATATTCTGGAAGGAGAGAAGGTCCTCAAAGGTAAGGTGGACGTGGAAATGAATTCGCATACCGCACTCTGGACTAGGAGGACATCGCCACCTGCAGAACAAGAGGCAGGACTGGCTTTGAGCCAGGCTCTATGCGAAGCAAAGGTGGTGAGGTCAGTGGACGTGCAGATCAGTCGACCTAAATGGCCTTTTGCGTCACAGGTGAATGATTCAGAGTCCCTGTCATTTTTGAGTGAGGTGAATCATTTCCTGGGCAACAAATTGGAATTCAGATATAGTGTCACCCAAATAATGTGCAGGGAGAGACTTTCTTACCAAGTATTTTTGTGTATGAAATTCTGGGTTCTTAAATTATCCCTGCTTTGCAATGCATGATAAAGCAGACGATGTTGTTGGGGATGCGGTAAATAAGCCCACAGACGTTCTGTTCACAGACGTTTCATGCGTTCTCATTACTGTCCCACTGACAACACGGAAACACACATGCAGGAGGGAGCTGCCAGTTAGCTTCATTGTCACTGCAGGGCGATACCCACACTTGTGATGGGGAAGTCAGAGGCAGCTTCTGAACTCCAGTGACAGTAGATCCTCCTGCATAGCAATCTGCTTCCCTCTCAAGACAAACTAGTTAAACTTTTTATTCACATGGGAGGGGAAATAAATCAATTATTTTTTCCTTGAGGTTTTAAAGCTGGCACAGCGAATACCTTGACCCTGTGCCTCCCCTCCCTGTGTCAGTTTCCCAGAAGCAGATTTCAGCCAGTTTCAAAGTGATAGAGGGAATAAACTTTAGCAGAAGCATCAAAGCTGAGTTTCAGTATCCATGGCTAAACCACACTCAGGCTGCTGACTTTGTCCCCAATTTTCCATTTCAGGGAAAACAAAGTTTCTGCCCACCCCCACCCCCCAGCACTGACAGCAGATCCTTTGTTGGGACGGACTCTCACAGAGCAGGGGAATTCTTCAGATCCTCTCTGTGGGGACAGCTCGTTGACTTACAGGGTGTGCCTGGTTATATGAATCAGGATCTTATTTTGCACTCAGTCCAACTTTGCTAACTTATTTGTTGTCATCTGAGTTGACTGTCAAAATAGGGGATGTGATACCATTGCTTCTTTCATTGATTATCAAACAACAAAAAATAAAACAAACAAACAAAAAAACCCAGCCTCTTGGCTGTGGGCCTAGAAGCAGGATGGGTATGCTGCAGGAGTGGGCGTCTGTGGGAAGAGTTTTCAAGAGATGCTCTGTTAATTGCACGGCGCATGTCATTTTAGAAAGTGTGGACTGCCTTTCAGGATCTGTGGGTTTATGAGAATCCCTATGTGTGCACAGAGAAGGCCCAGAAGATTCTCCCACACGGTGCATTGTACTGCAGGCAAAACAGGAGCAGTTCACTGTGGTCTTGCTGTTTGCGTGTCTGGAGGCTGGCATGCTTGCCACCTCCCCTATATGGAGCTAACCTTGATAAGATCCTGCAGTATCAGTTTTACTTAGGAATGTAAGAAAAATGCCTCTGTCTCTGTAACAGCAGGTGCTACCACCTGCCATGTAAGAGAATGACACATTCTCATGCTTTTCATAGTAAAATGTGAGATTTCCAGCTAGCATCATTCCTCTCTCTTGGTGGACTGCGCAGGTCCAGGCTGACTTGACCCTCTGCTCTTGGCCCCCGTGGTAGGGAAGCCTTGTTTGCTGGCTGGATGCTGGTCTGCCCCGTATTCCCCAGGAGTCCATCATGGTAGATGAACTTGGACCAACTCATAGGATTCGTGGATACACAACTCATAGTCCAAACACATACCCCTGAGATGAGTGTCCCAACCCAACCCTGGTTGGGGAAAAATCACAGAGTATCTCCTTCACCTGTGAGTGCCACCTCCTCTCTGTGCTCAGGGACAGAGAGGTTTTATATCTTCGAAATAATTTTACGCACGTGGAGGCAAAAGCTATCACTGCATACATTCAAGCTAGGGCAGATAAAACTTTATTTACATAAAAAACTTTGCAAACAATGAGACCATAGTGAAGATGCATGTGTCGAATATAAGTGGCACAATATTTCTGTTATCCTGGTAGGAATCACGCTAAACAGATAATGACTACTTATAATTGAGTTATTCCAATGGAGAGAGCTTAACCTTAATTTGACAAGTGAAGCTTCACGGAGTCACCATTTTATTCTAAATGCACCGTAAGCCGTTAACAACTGCCTCGAGGCTCCTTCTCTCTGCCCCAGTCAGCTCACCAGCAGCCCTGAACATCCACATTCCAGAAGGAGAGATTTGTTACACAGTAATTAACTTGTTTATGATAAATGGATGGAAGAAATGTCGTGGCATTTTGTTTTATGTCTAAATGAAAAGCATTTGCATTTGAAAAATTTCATGCTAATTAGGCTTAAAATAGTTTTCCCCAATAGGGTAGCAAATACTATGGAATTGAGAACCTTTTGAATGGCGGCTGAGCGCTCCATGTGGCACACGGGGCATTTGTTTAGTTGTTGTGTAATTCCTGGATCCACTCCGCCTCATGGTTCTGGTCTGTGCCCTCTCTGGCGAGTACTGAGGTGTCACTGCATACACTCTTACTCTGTAGATTCGTCTCCAGGATTGTTCACTGATGGCCATGATCACGGGTGCATGGTCGTATCTAAAATAGGATTATTAAGCCCTTTTCCTTTGGCTTCAAGGAAGTGTTCTCCACACCATAGTTTAGCATGGGGTAGAAGCTAAACTGGTGTCTTTTTCTCAGCTTTGTTAATAATAAATGGTCAGCCGGGCTCAAGGCTGCAGCTGATGCACTGACCTGCATCGCTCTCTCGTGGCGGGTAGAGTTCTGTGAAAACCCAGCCCCCCTTCAAAGCAAAATCCCCCAAGGATGGGAGAGTAAGGGGTGGCTTAGTGGGAACCCAGAACATGTGGGTCATATCTCTCTTTGCTCCTGGAGAAGAGGGCCACGTGTGAGTGAAAATGCTGTCTGCTGGGTTAGAGGAGGGGGATCTGAAAATTATCCCATGAATTCAGATAATACAGAAAGAAGAGCTTTGTTTCTGGTGACTTCATTTAATGCGACTACCTCAGAAAAGCCTTCCCTCTCCCACATCCAGGTCAGTTCATGACCATCTTGTGCCTTTAACAATTCTCTGCTTCCTTATTAGAGAATGCATATTATCTAAATTTATATTTTCTCTCTTACTTAAATTGTAAGGCTCATGAGGGCAGCAATCCTGTCACTCTGGTTTAACATTTAGAATGTTCTGAGCCAACATTAGGATAAATCGCAATTACCAGAATCTTGAATGGAGGTTAATTTTTCTCACATAACCATGAAGAAATAGGTAGTCAAAGGATGACCAGATCAATAGCACCAATCTCATGCCTAATGTTTATTCTTATCATCCTACCATCTTAGTAATAGTTTGTCAGTGTGTTACCTCATTGTTGCAAACTGGCTGCTGTGGCTCCAGGCATTGCATTTGAGTTTGTAGCAAGCAAGAAAAAGGAAGGAGCAGTAGCACCATCTGCATCTCTTCCCTGTATAAGGAAAGTACACACATTCTCAGAACCCTTGCAGAAGTTCTCACTGGGGACAATTAGGTCATAGACCACTCCCCGAGGAAAGAGGTAGGGAGGCTGGGAAGCAGAGAACTGCATGGTCTGACTTAGACCTATTATGCCCATCACCTGGTAGATGAGTATGTTGCTACCTGGAGCAAAATTGGGAGCCTTAGGAAGAAAAAAAGGAGAAACGTGTGCCAAGGAGGCAAGTGTCAATGTCTGCCACATGAGGTTTTTCTGGCCTCCCTGTACCTTCCCTGAAGCAGAGTGACATGTAATGCATTATCAGATGATTGACTCATTTGAGTACCAAGGCAAACAGGAAGGGATGGTGGAGAAGGAACCAGATGCATACAGGAGTCTGGAATGGGTATATAAGAACTCACCATGATGTAACTAATGTTGCCAGATGTACCGCTATCTTATCTTCACAAGTATGTTGAAAATAGCCTCTGTATCCTCCTCTGTGAAGACGGGTAACTCTTGCAGGGTGGAAGGCATCACAAGATGTGTGGACCAGATGCTGAGCAAATCTGACTGGGTACCCATCACCCAGTACCATGCCTGCATTGTGGGGCGGTGGGTGTGCAACCAGCACTGTCAAATGAAGTCATGAATGAGCCAGAAAATGCTGACACTGCAATTTTTCTGAGTCCCCTCCATCAACTCAAGACAAGCAGGAGCTACTCTGAATGTTTAAATAAATGGCACAAATGACAAACCAACTATGTGTGCTGAGCATCACTGGACACTGCGAGTTGCCTGTCCGATACCCATTCTCTCCCTCTTCCTCACTAACAAAACCTCTTCTCTCCTCATCCATTTGGCCCACACTGAGACCTGTTTAAAATACTCATACCTTCAGTAAACTCTTAAACCAAAGTGGCAATATGGCCTTTCTCTGGTCAGCAGAATCTACCTATATTATCCTGTTATATATGTGAGAAAGCTGTTTTTTTTTTTTTTTTCTTGATGAAGAGAACAGACCTCACTGGCCATACCTTCTGCCATTTGCTCTTACCTTTTTCTCCTGCCTGGAATGTGGGCATAATGTCTAGGGCAGAGCAGCCATCTTGTGACTATGAGGATGGTGGAGTAGGAACCAGACCTCAGGTGGCATCCTTGAACAATTGCAGACCTCTGGACTCATTGTGCCCTGAGAAATGAGAAAAATGAATGAGATGCCACAGTTGAGTTTCTTGGGGCATGCAGCCAAATGCATTCCCTGCCTTGGGGAGAACAAAAGAGCTATGCATGCTAGCAAGGGCCTGTCTTTGACACTGGAAGCTCAGAGCTTGTTTCATCCTCTGCCTTGAGCCTCTCCTCATTCTGTGTTCCTTGGGCCTTGTCCTTACCCCTGCTCAAGTGGCCCTCCGTTCCTTTGTAAATTAGTATCCAGACCCAGCACAGTGGGTTGCAGAGAGCATGTCTGGGCACTTGTTAAACATTTAACAGGTAAAGTCAAGAGTCA